GAAACCTTATGAGTCTAAACTATGTACAGGAGTCAGAAAGCTCAGGTCATGTTTATGGTGTGATCTGTGATCAACTTTAGTCACATAGGGCGGTGCTCAGGGCTGACCTCGGACAAACACCTAGTGATGCGGTCAATAGTCATTGTTCTGAGGGTGCGAGTGAATGAACAATTACAGAAAGAGACAAGAGAAGAGGGCGTTTTATCGGTTAACCGTCGATACACTAACAAATTGGATTTGAATCGAGTTGTAAGCTTGGCCACGTGGAACATTTGGTCAATGCCATGTGACAACCTTCTATGTTCCATTTTTGGCCAAAGTATCCCCTTTAAGTGGTTAAGCGAAGTGCACAGTCTTTACCTAGGCCTTACTTCCTGTTGGAGACGCCTCGTGCGCTTGCATCACAGAATCCATTAGGTGCTCCCGGCATCCATTCATCACATTTCGTAGTTCATCCTCCCTGCAGATCATACCCGCTCAGTTGAAAAACAGTGGTTTTTCTTTACGTTGAGTGGAACGAAGCCGCGAAAGAGAATACCTGGTCGTTCTACGTCACGTTCCTGTGCATGGACTGTCATATCGACCCGCCTTCTGTTTGGTTTTCAACCGTGAACTTCAAAATTCAATGCGCATCATTTAGGTGATCCATCGAATGTTTACAGTCCGTTTTGGAATCGACTACGCACAAAGTGTGGTCGATGTAACGATCACATAGTACACATTTATTGACATACATTTCCAGTAGACTACTTTTAATTTCGGACCAGACGTTTGCAGCAAACAAGGACCTCGGTGGGAACTTCATTATCACTCCGTCCTTCTGGCGATATATTTCATTTGTGAAATTGAATTGCACATTGTAAGTACAGAGGAATAACATTTATTTGAAATCATTGAGCGACAGGCCTACGTTGATCCCGCTGCTTCAGAAACAACAGCCCGAACAATCAATGGTCTCATAGATCCAAACATTGGTGGAGATGTGACATGAAGCAGTTATATCGATCACCGCCTGATTTTAAAGCCCTTTTTTGTCTAGCGGTAGGTCTTATAACGTGCATATATTGTTCCGTTGGAACACAGCATTGGTGCGTTGTCCATGACCTACATCTAATTTAATATGTCCTGGTTCTAAGTGGACACAAAATTACCCCGGGAACAAATTGGATTAGGAAAATACAGTTCATGCTGGAGAATCCACTTATCGGTTCGCTTCTCCATTTAGATGTTCACTTATGCATATCAATAAACGTTGATTGCACCCAGTCAGGGATTTGTTCTCTTTGATAGGTTTCATTCTTCTAGCGAGATATTCTCCCAAGATCGGTTAGTAATATATATATATATATGTATATATATATATAATCTTTCATCACAAAACCTTTGAATAGAACAGTATTCCTACACAAACGTGGTACACTCAAGGGGGCACAAAGCTGGCTGAGGTAAACAAAACCATTCTTTCCAGTATAAAATTTACTTGTCCCTATACACTCGGACGCCCAACGAAGTCAATTCGACTGAGACAAGTAAAATTCTCCGGTATCCACGCATTTCTTTTGGTATGGTTCTCATGGAGAGTTGGTCAGCATACAGACAATCTGGTGACACCTAAATAACTAGGGCCATCGAAGTAGGCCTCGAGGACACAGATTGCGAGAGGATATTCTGGATGCAGATCAGATATGTGCCACGTTCGCCATTGGAGGTTTTACTGGTGCAGTGATACTCTCTCACTCTCTCTCTCTCTATCTCTTGTCCGCTCCCTCGCCGCCAATCTGGGATTGCGGATCAAAGTTCCAGCACAATGCTCATATGGGGACAGAACACTCATGGTCGATTCGCTCATTCAGTGTTTGCCTTGGGAAAGCCGATCGCGAGACTGCCGTCAAAAGGAAAGCAATAAACGATAATACCGCTTTGTTGATCGATTGAGAAAGCCTGCAAAAACTGCAGAAGATAAGGAATAACCAACATGAACAACGCAGGCAGAAAAGAAAAAACAAAACAGAACGGTCATAGAGTACTGTAAAGGTGCTTGGGACAGTGTGTGCATATATATGTGCAACGTCTCGCAGCGAACTGGTGAGTGTGTGTGGATGAGGCAGCATCCGGAAGAAATTGGAGAGGGGTGACACAGTGAACATGACCAGACGACGTATGGGCGGCGGTAGGTCACAAAGAATCCGACCGAATCTGAGACAATCGATCAGATGATTAAAGTGGCTAAGATTGACGGAGTGAAGATAGAGTAAACACAAGATCCCCCTGGGGGCAAGAGGATATAGAAATGCACAAGTGGTGGTCACGGCATTCCACGGACCGAATAAAACGCACAGGATGCTCAGAACCAGCACCGCAAATACTCGGCCATGTGAATTGTTCGATCAGGCTGTGGTGATATTTTCAGAGTCGTTTGGATAAGTGCTGTGAACGGAACACGATTGCCACATGTCTGAGGGGGGAAGTGTGGCTGCCTGAAGATGCGCGCGAAAGGAGCATCCGAATGATGATGATGATTACGATGATAAGAATAATAATTAGAACAGTAATCCATTTGAGACTGAATTCTCTTTCCTCCCGATCTCCATTTGATATACAAACACACAAACAGCGTGTGTGGTGGGTGTTGATCACTGAGGAGGACAGATAAAAGCGCTGATTGTGAATAATAGTCAAGGGGGAGGGGGTGGCGACGGAGAAAGGNGAAAGGTACAGAGAATAAGGAAGAAAGTCAAATTCAAAAACGTCCACCCACATACGTGGATCGATTGGTGTATGACAGTGACCGGACATGAGCCAAACGACTGTGTAATGGCGGGAGAGGGTCAAGGAAGAGGATAATGAGAGATCGATAGAAGCGCCATGCGGTACAAATCATAGGCGTTAAACAAGGGACAAAAAACGTTGCACAGTGAACGCCTCTATCCTATCTGTGTGAGTATGCATTGGTGGTAATTGATGGGGGGTGAAAAGAGAAAAACACCACGGATATTTTTGTCCAGTCCCCATGATCACTGGTCACACTGGCCTACTGAGTGAGCACACACACAGGGAGAAAAAGATCGATTGATGTTTGCGAGTTCAGCCACTGAGAACACAGGAACGAATGTATTGATAGTCGGATGTGAATGAATGAGTGGATGGATCAGAAAGTTCTGAGTCACACCGAGATAGGGGAAAGAGAGCACGAAGAAAATAAAAACAAAGAATGTGACGAAATGGCGGAGATCGAGCGAGAAAGGGACCGCACGGGGAGCGAGTGAGAGAAATTAGTGAACGAATGAATGGTTTCAAGATGAAACAGAGGGATCATTGCTGAAACTGGATGTTTCTTCTTAGCCTCCGTCATCCTGCATGCGCGGAACATAAAGTCCGTGTGTGGGTCTGGATGTGTTCAGATTGGCAGCGAATTATGATTGTCTAGGTCGTTTACGGGCCCAACACCTTAGAGGAAGTTGCTGTGAGGCAAGGCTGCGAAAACACTCGTTCAGAAGTCGAGGACGATGTCGCACAAGCTGATCGTAGCCTTCGGTTTCGCATACATCGTGCGCATGACTGTGCAAATACCGCAGATCACGTAGAACAAAAAAATAGAATGAAGCAAAAACAATGAGTGAGTGCATGAACGGACGAGAACAAAGATCAGCGTCAACTGGCAGCAACTCTTGGATAAATAATACTTTGTATCCTGTGAAATCACCAAGGTTTTGGGTCTTTACAATTCAAACTAGATTCCGGTCAGCGAAAAGTGGCAGCAATAACCTACATCGAAATATCGTCTGCATTAGAACCCGTTTATGATTTCCACCCTCGTTGTGAATTATCATGTTGTTTCGCTTATCGTACAACTGGAAAGAGCAGTATGGAAGGCACGGGGCACGATCTGAAATAACGATTCAGAAGCGGTCACGACGAGAGCAACTCAAAGATATGTCCAAGAAGGAACTCGTGGATTTTTCTATTACACACTTTTGTGTGACGAACGGCAGACGGGGAAAGCCCAATTGTCACGAGGACTTGCTGTTCAGTGATGGAAACCGGTAACCTAATCCCCGGAACTTGGAGTGGAGAACCACATAAGGCCCCGGTAGGTTAGGTGTGGTATTGGACCGGACGACAGACGGAGCTGCCTACCACCAAAGTTGGGTGGCGGAGCTCGAACCTCGGATCGTAGGATCCAGAGCACGCCTGTGGCAGCAACTAAACTACTGTGCCACCACCACCTGTTATGGCCAACACGGTGAACCCGAGGCCCCATCCAAGAAGCCGAACACGGTCTATGTGTCAGCAGTTCTCCTGATCAAGGTTTTCATAGACGTCCCAGGTCTCACCTTAACCACCCATTGCCTGCCACGGAAAAACATCGCATCTATTTGGTGACATGAGTAACAAATGTCCCAATTGACGTAATCTACGAAACATTTGCTCCACTGAGCGACCGCGATTACGTAAAACTATACGCCTAACCTCAGCATTGATCGTCCGGTTTCTCCGCCAGACTCGTGCGATGCGGCGCAGACAATGGTGTTCGAACACCGACAATTTCTTTTCATCCTGTTCCCGTTAAGGCCAAATCTCTGCACCGTGAGGCAGCACTACCTAAACAGCTGCAGCATACACTAAACCAATTACAGACAATCGGGTGTCGCGACGGCACCACATATGTATCAAGTTGACAAATGCCAATTAAGCCTTCTGTACGCGTGCCGACACTTCATCCGTGATGCGTCCACCGGGTGATCGGTTGAATTTCTGGGGGAACCTCATATTTAGATTGAGGAGTGAGTAATACATGATGGAATTGCCAGAACTATTAGAACAGTTAGTGGACAACACCAAACGAAAAGAGAAAAAGATAGCAGTTCAACGCCTTCCACCAGCGAGGATCACTGGTAGAATAGCACAGTAATATGACAGTGAACTACTACTTACAGCATAATGAACTCCAATGTGTGGGCCTTTAATTGTTCTGCGTTATGCATATCAGCCAAACCGAGGATGTCGCAAGCGTTCTCTACAGTTAAACTCTCGACTAAAGCCTCTTCACACATGGTCTTCAGGCGTTCCAATTGGTACTGTGAAAAGAACAAATGTTGGTAGTTAGAAAAAAAAGCACCAGTAGGAGAATGGTATATAGCTCATCCAAAAGCAATAGAAAATGGTGTGAAAATATAGATTATCGACTGAAAAATTGATACGATAAACTGCGGACAGCAAATGAGTGGGATAGTCTCTTGTGGGAACACATGGCGGATCCGGCTAGTCCAATGTGATTCTTGTAACATAGTGGAAATAAATCTGGTCCAAAGAGGGTATGACTCATTTAACTACTTCCTCCATGCATTGATTATCAGGATTGTGTTGAAAAGCATGACAATGCGTATCAAAAGCGCGATGCAGCATGTGGTAACAGCTGACTCTCGGCTTATACACGAGGAAGCGTTTAGGTGTTTATACGTGATGTGTTCAGGTAGTTGAGTTGAGATGAGGCGGGACGGGATGGAACGGTTGCTATGCTTTATTGATGAGTTCTAACGAGAGAAAAACACTAGTCATGTGCTTCCGGACTGTATGTTTAATTGGATGAGCTGGATATTGTACGTGACAGTGAAGTCTGGAGAATGATCAGTTTGAATCAATAAATTGAGAATTTTACCATAATAAAGGCATAACTCATTGCCTCTAATCTATTAGTTCACTGAACTACAAATTTGTCAATTTATTTAGGAGCGAAAACCCTCATTCCTTGAAGTAAAATAGCGTAAGTAGGATTAGTGAATTCACAACGGATCAGGTGGAAATGCTAGTCAAAACGGCGTGTTGGAAGATCCTATCTCAGTATGGTCAAGAAAAACAGTCAAAGACAGCATCAGGAAGTAAAAAAAGGCTACGTGAATGATAACACTACACATCAAAAACTTTATGGAACGAAAACAATAATCAACACCGTTGTTTACAAAACTGTCATGGAACAAAATTCCTACGCTTGTACCATAAATGAGAAGACTATCGTAGGCAGATGAGGAAAAGTCGATCAAACTATTTAAATCTCTCATCGAAAGTAAAACATTTCTGTGGTACACACATATATACCGTAGAAACAGAGTGTGAGTGTGAAAATAAATGAGAACGCACCTTGTCTGCTGCGGCCAAAAGGTCATGGGCTAATTTATCCAGACCGATCACTTGACCGGTGTAGATGTAACGCAAGACTTCAGCTAACGTATCCGGTTCCATGTCCGTGATTTCCACCCGATTCGCCCGCGATTCTTCCATTCCGTGTTCAAACATGGCTGCGAAGACAGGGCTACGAGCAGCCAGGATGGCTTTGTGTGCCTCAAACTGGCGCAGGATAAAACCGCTATTTGATGCGGTGGTGACAGTTGCCTGGGATGTGTCACTAGCCCCGGAGGTTGTGTTGGAGATGACTTTAATTGGCTTAGCCGGATGTTCACCGGAACCACTCAGCGGAGTGGCATTCTGACTCAGGCCTGATTGTGTGGGAGAAACGTGTGTCGATGAGGTTGTGATAGCAGCGACGCCGGTGGTGGTCGATGCCGCTTTGGTCACAGTTGTGCCCGGGGCTGTATCGCGAGAACCACGAGATCTGGATGACCGTGTGGGTGCATTGCTTGTTGGGGTGGTTGTGGTAGTGGAACTGGTATTTGCAACACCCATGCTTCCGTTAGTACTAGTATTAGCGTTGTTGATGTTTGCGTTGTTATTAGTGGTGCGTCTGCGTGTACTTCGACGAACACGAGCTGTTCCTCCCGAAGTCTCTGCCTCCACCGTGCCTTCAACTGATTCGTTCTTCACCTTTGATGACGTGGAGGCTCCGATATGTGAGCTATGTGTGCAAGACTGGAACGCGTTACCGTTGCCACCACTACTACTGTTGGTGTTATTTCCACTACTACTTCCAACCACATCTCCCGCGACGGTACTGGGAGTCACATGGGGACGGGTGGCTGACGAACAAGATGGTGTGGATGTGGTCGGGAGAATGGAAGAGGTGGATGGAATCGAATTGGATGCACGACCACAGTTTCGGCAACGGTGACCGTCTGCGAAGTAAAAGCAAATGATAATACTGAATTATGGCAGTCACCCAGACGATTTGGTTGGGAAACAAACGTTAGGTGGTATATTGGAAATAGGCGTGAAGTTGAGCCAAAATCAAACACAGACGCACTTCATCAGTGAGAGAATCCCTCTGCTATGTATTAAAGAAGCAGATGCGCCGTAAAATGTTGAATTTACATACTAGAGCTATCACAATGATAAATAAAGAGGAAATTTAATTGAGCAAAAAAGTAATTCGCCGAACATCGTAGTTTAATTTCCAGTTTCTACAACCATTAACCATGCACTATCGTGCGCCCGTATTGGTTGCTGTCTTTTGGCGTGGTAACTGATTTGGCGACATGCGTAACACATGCCCCAAACAACGTAATCTATGGAGCTTGACCACTTGCTCCAGTGGGTGACTGCGATTACCTAAAACTCTGAACCTAACCTCAGCATTGCTCGTCCGGCTGTCCCATCAGATTCGTGCAATGCTGCGTAGACAGCGGTGTTCAAACACCAACACGCCAAAAGAAGAACCGCTTGAAGACATCGCCAAACCTAAAGAGTTACCAGACAGCCCGAGTATTTTAGCCGGTAGAGCATGAGTCTCAGTCTCAGGGTGATGGATTAGAACCTACATTAGGCGTGCGTTTGCTTAACTCGAGAAGCCCCAGTATAGTCAAGAGTGCGCGTATTGTGTTGTGTTGTCACCCTTCTTTTGCACCGTACAACTAAGTTTTCAAATCGCCTCTGTTGAGTGAACCCTACTCACTGCCTCAACGTGGTGGAAATATTTCATCATAAACTTGAGCAGACGGAAAACCCTTATCCGGGACTAAAAACCGGATCGGTGAACCTTTGGCAGTTCACCTAAGTAAGGTGGCTAAAATCTCAATTCACAGTCAACCAGGAGGTGTACGACCCACATACACCTTTCTAGTTGTGACATTGGTCACCGGTGCGATTGGTTTTCAACATCCAACGATCGCATGATCTGATAAACTGGGTAACAGCCTCAATGGATTGAGATTTTCATGCACTACCCCACTGTCTTGAAAGGCTTTGGTTTGTCGAGGGCTTCGGCTGGGAATCCCCAGAGAAAATTCATCTGCTTTGTTCAGAACAACCTGGTAGTATCCTGAGAGCGAGCAAATTATAATGAACCGACTTCGTTGCTACGATGAATGTTGCATAGTGAAATGTTTGGCTCACAGTAGGGACTCAGAAAGTGTAAAATATAAATATCATATACAAGACAAAAAACAGTGTTGAATGAGACGTAGTTTTGGAAGTAACTTGCACCAGTGCAAGCATGGGTGTGGATAAGATAAGCGAGAAGCCCTATGGAGTAGAAAGAACAATTGTTATGTTTTAGATCAGATCTATAAGTCGTAAAGGAACGGTTAGATACAACCCAGAAGAGTTCGTAAACCCCCAACGTGTCACACTCTGTTAGATGCCTATAATTTTCTACCATTCCCGTTCTACAGTTAATTGATCACATAAAGCCCTTCAATTGAAACAACCAGTATCGTTGTTTATTTCGCATCGCCTCTTGTTGTCACGCGTCAGAGTGTGACAAACGGTAGGTGTGAATCCCCCGATTGTGACCAGGACCTAGCCAGAAGAATCGGTGGGCCGCACGTGGCACACACGCCGGACTAGTGACATCCTAACTTTGCAGCTCCATACACAAAACATACGGCGGCGTGCTAAAAACAGTTGGAAAAACTGCAGATCAGCAATCACTACATGCTCACATGTTCTATCCAAGCGAATAAACCTATTTGGAATCCGTACATGAAAAGTGGAATTTAAACAATTGACTCAGGTGATGGAAAAACATCCATCAGTGTTAAAAAACTGATGGAAGCTCTAAAATGAACCACAGAGGTCCCCGAATGATACGTGTGGGAAAAACTGTATATTTGTAACAATATAGGAAACAATGGTTGAGTTCGGTTTTATCGCTTACAAGTGATAATGAAAGGAGAACTAGTTGGGAGTATTCTGCAATATCAGTTGTGTACACCAACAGATGAGACACGTCATATTCCAATTAAGGATGCAAGTATCCATAAACAGTACAGAAACCCTCACTTAAAGCACAAATCGTGACGAAAGGTGATGAACAAAATCGATACAATCAGCGCACTCGATGGCGCCAAGGTTAGAGTTGTGTCCGGATGACAGAATTTTCTCGCTTGGTGTATTAAAAGTTAGAAAGTACTTGCTGTATTCAACCGACGTTATCATAACGGCGAAGATAGCTTCGCAGCAGAGCACATAAAATGCTAAGACAATCTGCCGACACGTCAGTCAATCATGCAGAACCGGAGGGCATAGTAGTCGGACTTTCATCAGCCCCCTAGGCCTCCATTCGATATGAACAACAACCAATAAGAGTGCCAGTCTGAACCCCGTTTCACTTTGTATGTAACAATCTCATGAAATTAAACATAGCTGGTGGGCATGCTGTGTAGGACCGGTGAAAAAATGAATTAAAAGGTAGTTGATTACCGGTCTAGTTCCAACATCGAACTACTTAATTCCGAGTAAAAAAATAATGGAAAAAAATAAAGAGTGGTACGATGAAGATAAATTTAGCCATTCGCGTGTCCGTTGGTGAAATGTATCTTCACAGGAAGTGTGATAAGCGTTCGCACCTTCAGTTCAGTAGTCGGGTGATTCGAGTCACACATACGGGTTAAAACTTTGTGACCGCTATCCGATATTTGCGTTAGATACCTCCACCATGACCTGATTCAATATTACATCTAACTAGTAATGCTGGAGGTTTGGATTGAGCGTTTTTATATGGAAATAATAGACAGGTATCACAGATTTTGAAGTTCATTCATTTTACCGTCTTTTGCGCCAATAGATGTGAAATGTGGGCTTCATGCTTGCAGAAGTTATTACAACACAATACAACACAATACGCAAAGAAGAAAGAAAACTTGCAATCGGTGAACGCAGATCTTTTCGACGTCATGTACTGGTTCCAATTGCCGCTGCTAAATTTTCCTAAGAATGTTAAATCAGGAGGGGGAGGGTTTTGTTAATTTTTACCGGGAAAAATTGTGCGCCGATGCCATATACCAAACCACGGTCTCCATTCAGGGAGACGAGGATCAACTCATCTCTGCGTGACACAATATAGACAGATGGGCGTGGAACTAGGACGTAGATAGCCCGATTGTGATGTGATAAACGCGAAACTCGTTAAACCTTAATTCGAACTTAATGATAAAGCACGTATAATGGTTCCTGGTAGGTACATCCCGGATTGGGACTACAGCAACTGCACAACTTAATGCAAGTGCTCCAAAAAACAAATCTTTTGGTCATCATCATCATCATGCAGCGAAATACAGTGACGCGAACTTCGCTGATTGCTGTCAAACTCGCAATGCATACAAGGTTAGTGGTAAAATTTAAGGTGGACAGAGATAGAATCTATTTGGAGAGAGAGATGATGAGCCACTATGGTCAACACACAGAGTACGCAATCGAACTCTGCATATATACTGTTTCAAGCATTCTGACCTGATAAGAAACGACAACAAGAACGCTACTGCCGCCGGTTCGCTGCCATATCCTTCAATGTCTCCAACCAACCAACCCCAACCTGGAAGGCGAGAGACACCTACTCTACCTAATGGCTCTGTGCATTTCTTCATGCCTCGTCTCCACGTTATCTGTTGACCTCCACGTAGTTTCCTCCAGCCCAGATTAGCCACAGCGAATAAAACGCGGTGCGGTAGACGATGGCTGGACATAGGCAATACGTGCCCTAGCCAGTGAAGCCTAGTAATCTGAATTCGGTGTGCTAGCAGGTTTATACCTGACAGACTGCCAAATACACGACGGCTTACCTCACGTTACAAACCCGTTCGCTCCATCCAACGTGGGTTAAACTGCGTAAACACCGATAATCGAAAGCTTCCAGTCGACGGATATCTTCTACTCGCAAATTCAGGGTCTCACAACCATAAAGCGGGACTGAACGAACGGTGACACAATATACACAACCTTTCAACTTCAGTGAAACGTCGCGTCTACGCCAAAGGTGTTTCAGTCCTGCATATGCTGCTCGAGCCTTGGAAATAGGAGCGGTTATCTCTTTGCTGCACTACCGTCATTGGTCACGCGACTACCTAAGTAGGAAAAGTAATCCNAGTAATCCCCCACAACTAAATCCTGGCCATTTAGTGTCAAAGCGGGAGTAGACGAAACTCAGTCCTGCAGCAGCACTTTGCACTTTGAAGGTGCAAAGCACATATCGAATGTGGCTACTGCACTTGTTAATCTATCAAGTGCGCTTTGCGCGTCCTCCGTACATTCGAACAGACAGACGGTGTCATCGGCGTACTGCAAATCGCACAGCTTTTTTCCAGCCTCCCATTCAATACCTCAGTTTGGAGTCCCCTTAGTGCGCTCTTCAGTATTCCGTCTACGACGAAACTGGACAGAAACGGCGAAAGACAGCACCCTTGACGAACGCCGCTGCTGGTAACGAATAACCTACTTAGTTCGTTGTAGACCCTTATACGACCGGAGGTATGTGGGTACGGTGACCTCAGTACGTTAACGTACT